GGAAGACGAGACAGAAACAAAAGTTTAAAGCTGAGCCGAGCCACTGAGCAGCGAAAAACAAAAGTCGGGAGCTGGCTCTCACTCGATGGGAGTTGGCTCTTCTGATTCTGATTCTTCAAGAACTGGATGGTGTGTTTGTGATGACTAAAACCACTAAACATAGCGCCTAGTCTGACGGCCAAAAAGCCTAATTCTAGTCTCATCAGACCAAAGAACCTTCTGCCAGCTGACTTCAGAGTTTCCCACATACCTTATGTTGAACTCTAGTTGCGTTTTTTTAATGACAAATTTAACTATTTCAAGGGACATTTAATAACTTCAGAAATCTTATCTGAATCATTGTTTTCTGTCATGGTATGACTTATAACTAATTTAAATAAATGATGAGTGGGGCTTTAAAGTAAGACAAAATGGAAGAAAGTGTCCTGTGTGGTCTCAGAGATATGAGGAGTATGGGGCTGGTTTACCTGCTTCAGCACAAACGTTGAACAGAATGACGGCAACATGATTTACAGTCACACACTGCAGCTTTGGTACATCCGTATATTACTCCTAAACAAAAGCAGGCAGCTTGAGGTAACTGCTTTGTGAGGCGAGCACAGAAACATTGTCGGACTCCTGTGGTTACATTGGCACAGTAAGTCGAGTGTAAAACCTTGAACATTAGGGAGACCGCAAAAAACACAAGTGCACCTCTGGGACAGGTTTTCTTTATTGAGAACATTTCTTGATGTGACCTCTTTGACAGTAAGCATTCAAAAATGACTGACCAGAGTTCACAGTCAGCACAAATGTTCACTATGTGGCACTTTATAGCTTTCAGCTGCCTTATACAAACATTACAACGACTGAATCCGTCGTTCATCTTATTTATATTTATCATGGAACATACATATATTATATAACTGTGTACAAAGTGGATTTAAAGATACCTGTCAACATTTGTCACAGATCAGATAAACTGCCTTAATGATACTGTCGTGTCTTACTTCAACTCAGTTAATTCCACAGTTTACAGATAAGTCCTTGTTTTCTGCCTTCACGTGTTGGTCAAACGTTTGTGTGGCGGGCGACGTTTCGTCATGACAAGCAGCTTTAACTTGTCCAGCACTGCTCATCTGCCCTTCTTTTGTGGACACTGGATTTTGTATCCCACCCTGTAGGCCTGCAGGTACACACGGGCCTGGTTTATCCTGGACACACAAACACAAGGCAGACGCAGCTGTGACGAGTTGTGCTCTAATCAAAATGTGATGCAACACAACCTTTTACAAATGTGCAAACCATGGCCCACTGTAACGGACATCTCAGGTTCTTATGCCATCGTTTTTGTTACCTTGACAACATTTCTCAATACTTTAATGGAATTTTTAATCTATTTAAGTTTCAAACCAAGTAACTAAGAAGAACAGACGATGAAAAAAGTTATTGAAAGTGAGTTTTTCTGACATTGAACAGACCAATGATAAAAAAAAAATCCTCCAACTCCAGCTCGATAGCAACACGACTACCCATCACTGGAGAACTCAACAGAAAACAAACAAGCACCTGTATTTAGTGCAAAGGTGAACTCCCAAAGGTCCACATCGGTCCACATAACTCTCCCTGAATGCCTTCCTCACTGCTCGAGCCATACTGACCACCGTGGTGACCACAGGACACGTCCTAGGAAAAAAAGATGGGACAGTGACATGCAGGATTAATAACGTGGCTGAAACTTTTACCCCTTGTTGCTGTTTTTAGCAAAGACTGTCAGTGAAAAGCTCGTTGCAGTCTTAAACTGTTTTGAAGACGTCCTCTCCAGAAACAACCAAACAAGCTATTATAAAAACTCAACATTGAGTTGACTGTCTCTGATTTACCTGAAACTGTTCTAGCATTAAATATGGATATTTATAAAAACATTTGTCAAATTTTAAATTGATATATCAAATACTTTCCAAGATACAGTTTTTTAAATTGCCTTCTAACCACTTTGCGCATGTTTTTCACACATTGTGTTTGAATCTGATCTCAATCCTGTAGAAAATTAGTGGGCAGAGCTGAAAAAGCATGTGGCGCAAGAAGACCAACAAACCAGTTCTGTCAGGAGGAATGGGCCAGAACTCATCAGACTGTGGTGAGAAGCTTGTGGAAGGAAACCCAGAACGTTTGACCCAAGTCATAGAGTTTAAAGGCAACGCTAGCAGATACTGAGGAGATGGATGGAAACTTCTGACTCTGAAGAAAGTCATAAAAAAATCTCCAAAAAAATTCTTTGTCGTATTATTCTGGAATTTAGCAACTATAAATCATGTTGGTGATCCTAACTGACCTGAAACAGGAAACGTTTAACCACATTTAATGTTATAAATAAAAGTTTTATGTCTTTTTTTACAGTGGATGTAAACTTCTGGTTTCAACTGTATATCTTGGAAAGTCTGGGACAAATCAACCTCAAATTTCATAGATCACTTGAAATATCCGTAGTTTGGGATGGAAAGGTTAAAGCAAATCAGAGATGGTTGAGCCAAAAGAACCTGACAGTTTGAAATGGAATAACTTTAACCCTAACCCGAACCCATGGCCTATTGTAGCAGCAAAGTGAAAGAACTTCTCGAGCATTTCACGCTGTCTGACGCTATATGTTCCCATGTGTTGAAGCAAACGTTATCTGATTTTAGACTAGAAACTGATGCTTAAAGCACAGTTAACACAAAGGAGACATGCAATGTTCTTGCAGCTGACTGATTACATAAACAGCATCATGAAGGTTATAAACTATAAAACGGCATTTTAAATAGTCACAGCACTGATGTCACTCACTAGAGAAAAATAAAACTTTAAATAGCAGAACAGCCATGTGTTACTTGCAGCTGACTGTACTTACAGTCTCTCACAGCGGAGGCCTGCAGTGCCCTCTGGACAGGTACAGGTGTTGTGAGGGCTGCAGGTGGCTCCATGTTGGCAGGGTGGCACACAGGGGATGGTCACCGCTGCAGACACGCCAGAAGTCTTAATGCACACGAAAGTTTAAACGTCTTTTGTCCACATAAAGCCACACATGGACAAACTAACCTGTTTCACAGAGACCTCCAGTAAATCCTTTGGTGCAGCGGCATCTGTTGAGGCCGACACAGACGCCACCGTTTTTACAGGGTTTCTGACACTCAACAGGCTCTGATGGGCACAGGGAAGAGAAAGCAGGTGTGTCGTCAACAGAAAACAGGCAGAAAGCACTCAGCATTAATTGCTGGTATTTCAGTAGAGGAATTAATTTGCATCTTATTTGAAGTGGAACATATGGAGCCCGTCTGGTGACATCGATAAGAAAGAAAAAATAACTCGTTCCCACGCATTAGTGAATCGTGGCCACGAGTTACTAATGCGTGGGAACGACATCGTTAAATTGTGGCCTCGCATTACTAATATGAAGAAACAAGAGAAGTAGTGGAGCAAATTTCACAGTGGAGTATTTTGATTTGATTTCATTTTATTTTAACCTTGGAATGAACTACACTGATATCCTGCGATCTCTTGCGATGAAACACAGCGTGATAATTTTGTCGTTCCCACACATTAATATCTCGTGGCCACGATTTACTGATGCGTGGGAACAAGTTATTTTTATTTCTTATTGATGTCACCAGACGGGCTCCGTAGGAACATCAGTAAACTTGGCAGTAATGTCGCCAACAGCAGGTCAAGAGCAACTGGATGCTGGAACATGTCTGTGTAGATACTTAGTCATCCAGGTCATAGCAATCATCCAACTAGACTTCTCTTTTTGCTTCTTGCAGATGTTTCCCCTCCATCCAAAAGGCTTCTATAGTTCTATCTGACTGATGGGGAGTGTGAGATGTCGAATGGCCCATGACTGACCCAAACTCTGACTGCAGCGCTTCATACAGGAGCATTCACAGAGAGGAACGCTATGCAGACCTTCACTGATAAGTTGCAAAAATTCATGTGAAATACTGGTGATGTACAGTAGTGCTCAGAATGACTGACGAAGTCCTGACGGTGCATGAAGCACTGGCTAGGACGGTGCATTTGACTGGAGCAAATCATGAAAGCAGATAACAGCGTTCAAGTCCAGAGTGACGCATTGTGAAGAAAAATAGAGCTAGAGATATAAATAATGACGTATTATAATCAGGTAAAGCAGCATTTATATAATTCCTGTCAGGTTTAATTCCTAATAAGTAAATTACGTGGGCATAATCACGTCTGAAATCGCACCACAGAGTCTGAAGCGCTCTGTTTGGTCTTGCTGGGTTACATCCAGTCATAATCCTTTTTACTACATTTGACTGAACTATTTTATCTCATATGTGTTGCATGTTTGTGATCTTATTTAGTTGTTGAATTTGTTTTTAATATTCATCTGATTTGACATTTGTTTGTAATGTAGAGCACTTTGTAACTTTGCTTACAAATACAGTGATCGTTATTATTATTAGATTACATTTTGTGTCCAGGAAGTTATTGTCTAATCCCCATATCATGATGTTTGAAGCTGGCAAAGGCAAAGCCCAGCTTTTATCTCTGTCCTATTTTGCTTACAAACAGCAACCAGAAATGTAAAGTTGTACAGCGTCTGTGAAGAGCACGAAAAAATGTGTATTTAATGCTGTGAGCACATAAGTTGCTGAAAACACTTCTGCTTGCTGTTATCTGTCAGACAAGCCTTCTCCAGCAAGCAGCAAGGGGAAGAAGTACATCAGAGGAAAGCGGCTGCATCCACAGCTGGCAAAAGCCAAATATCATATTTAGATTAAAATCTGAAAGGCCTCATGGGGGAGACATGTCTCCTTTCAGGAGGCAAAAAATGTGTAAAGGGTGCTGAGAGTCCAGAATAATCTCAGAACAATGGGTGATTCTAAAGTAAAAGATGATTTTATTTCATGTTTCCTGTTTTGCAAAACTGTCAGTGACTATGATTTGTGATTGTGATATTGGTTCACTTCCTTGACAGAATCATTGGCCCTGCATGCATGTGTTCTCACCTATCTGGCACCGAGCTCCCTGCCAACCACCAACACATGTGCATTTGTTGACATCCACACATCTTCCCCCGTTTTGACAGGCAGGCGTGCACAGGGCTACAAAGAACACACGACACAGATTTTACATTAACCAGATGCTTTTTTTTTTTTTAGTCTTTTCATGCCATAGCCTACATTTTACCCAACAGAGCTGCTACCTTGCCTGCAGGCAGGTGGGCAGAACCTGCATGCCAGGTCGAACTGATGCCAGATGTGTCTGTGTGTTGTTACTCACGCGAGAGGCACTGAGGGCCGGTGTAGTCGGAGGCACACTGGCAGGTATCGGGCCCCACACAGCGACCGCTGTTAGCACAAGGCAACTCACACACAGCTGAGAGACAAGCAGGGATAAAGACACATAGAAGAGTTAAACAGTCAACGCCAATAGAGACGAAAATGGAAAAGGATGAAAAAAATTCTGCTGAATTGGAGCATAAAAAGCAACGTAATGCATGAAGCTCCTGAACACATGCATGTAGGAGCAACATCAACATAGCAGTTTCACATCATGCATATGCATATGTACAGCAGGTATGTGTTGGTGAGCACAAAACAGAACAGAAAATCTTATTAAAGCAGCTTGATTTGGCATGTGAACATCCTGCTGTGCTTATACCAGCAACTCTTTTAGCACAGTCTGTGGTATTTGCTTCATATATCACCTATCTGCTGGTGTTTCTAGATACTGTAGCTGGCAGCTGGGAGGCCTTCATTAATGTTCAGAGGCGGTTACCTGTGTGGCAGCCTGCTCCAGTCCAGCCCGGAGGACACAAACACTTATTCCAGCGCATACAGGTGCCTCCATGGGCGCAGGGCGGGGAGCACATGGCTGAAACACACAACCAACATGGACTGAACACACACATTACCCACAAATGTCACTATCGGCATTTAAAACATTGTACTGACTCGCAATATTCTGTCTCAATATCAGACTAAACAATGTACGAAAGAATTAAACAGACACAAATGAAAGGTGCAAGTGTGACATTTCAGTAAAGCATCAATGTGCACGGCGATAACAGGTTATCCATCTTCTATACACCGCTTTATCCTCATTAGGGTCGCGGGGGGGGGCTGGAGCCTATCCCAGCCGACTTAGGGCGAAGGCAGGGGACACCCTGGACAGGTCGCCAGTCCACCGCAGGGCCACACTGAGAGACAGACAACCAAGCACACTCACATTCACACCTACGGACAATTTAGAATCACCAATTAACCTCAACATGTTTTTGGACTGTGTGGGAGGAAGCCGGAGAACCCGGAGAGAACCCACGCTGCACGGGGAGAACATGGAGACTCCACGCAGAAAGATTCCGGTGCCCCCACCGGGACGCGAACCGGCAACCTTCTAGCTGCGAGGCAACAGTGCTACCAACTGCGCCACCTTGGATAACAGGTTATGTAATAGGTTATGTGATTAGCACCTTTAGCTTCTACACTGCTGCTAGCAGCGCATTGTGTCAATTTATTTGAAGGCAGGGGAGATATTTCTGTCCCTCTAACTTAGGACAAATATTTAAATGCATAAAACAGCAGCAATTCTTGACACAACTTTTCTGGGATTGAGATTTGACAGGATTTGAACTGTGGATGATCAAATATACGACATCCAGAACTACATTTAGATTATTTTGTAATGAAATCTACAGATTAAATAATGAATCAACATTTCATATATTCCAGTGTTTTCTATTCAGGAACTATACAATGGCCAGTTCCAAACATAGCTATTAGGACAGGACATGATGTGGGATTAAATGAGAACACTCATATAATGTTTTTCAAAACAAATACTTAGAAATATGCTGATGTAGGTAATTGCAAGACTGTGCAAATAATGTTCAAGGCAAATAAAAAGTTATTCCCTGGTAACATACAGAAGTAAGATTTGAAGTTTTCATTTGAAAGAGCCACCATGAAGAGGAGATGTTTATCAGTTGTGGGATGAACTTATCTAAAAGTGAGTATAATTATAAAAAACTGTGGGACAGTGAAGTGTTGTTGGGGTTCCAAAAGAGGTTTATAAGGTTTGAAGCAAACAGGAAACAGGAAGACATGAGATGTTCGGACATGTGGCTGGTAGACGTTAACAAGTTAAACTTCCTCCTACTTGTTTTCAGATACAGTTTTGTGATGCTGTGGCATGTCTGAAATGAATCAAGTCCAAAATCAAATGGAACAAACCGACCTGTTCTATAAACAGCACGCCAACGTACAGCAGGGGAGGTTCTTACCTGAGCAGCCGACACCAGGATAACCAGGAGGACAGTCACAGCTGTTTGGGGCAACACACACGCCGTAGTTCTGACAAGGAGGGTCACAAACAGCTGGAAAGGCAAAAACACTAGTAAAAATAACGGTGCATGGATTCTGACTAAATCTATCCGGATCACTGTACGACTTATGTCTGACTCACGCTGGCACTTGGTGCTGTCGTCTGTTCGAACTTTGAAGCCTTCCCTGCAGGTGCAGTTTAACCCGCCAGCATGGTTCAGGCAGAGCTGCTCACAGCCTCCATTTGTAAAGTCTCCACATTCGTTCACATCTCACCACAAAGGACGGAGGGACAGTTAAACGGGCAGACAGCAAAACAATCCATATTATGCTCTGTTAATTTCCTTTCGGGCTGATTTACGAAGCGTTCTTAGCTGCACGAGGAACTTGGCCACAGTTCAGAGTCACTTGCTGTGAGCAGGCGTTCACATTTCTGCACATCCCTTTGTGATTTCTTTTTATTAACACCTTCATTAAAAACTACATCAAGGACAAAATGGATGAGAGGTCGATTACATCCATTGAAAACTCTGCAGCTCTTTATTGTTAGTTATGTGAAAGACTTCAGAGATAAATGTTCAGAGAATGAGGCTCACAGAAGCTTCGTGTGGCGGATTCAATGGATGATGAAGTCTGATGGAAATGACTGTTGTGTCATTATGTGAAGTTAAAAAAGCCCCAAAAAACAGGTTTTGTTGCATGGATATGACCTCATAACATAACATTAGCTGTAGCGATGGTAGTGATTACCAGTTGATCGACTGATTGCTGTTAATAATTATACTTATATCAACTGCTAGGACAGAAGAAAGACGACCTGCTGGTTACAAAACATATTGTCGTTTAGCTGTAGTACCTGGTTGCACCACTGGATGGCACCTTTAACTATTTAAATCAGATCAAATCACATTTTATTTGTATAGCACTTTTCATGCACTACAGCAACGCAAAGTGCTTTAAGCATTTAAAAAACATTACAGCGTTTAGAAAGATTGTAAAAGAAAACCCGTCCCTCCACACGTACACACACACACACACACACACACACACACACACATTATTTCCCTCCATCCAGAAACAAACCAGAGTCGATGAGGACTGTGTTCTTAGAGCTGAGTGGCTGATCTGAGCATATTTGCCTCAAAGGTCCGTGTCTGTGCTTTAACAAAACACTATTAGCATATAGAAAAATGTCTGCCGTACTTCATTTATGTTAACGATTAATCAAGCAAATTTGCATCCCTAATTCGCGGTTCTATTAAAACCAAGAATATGAACATAAATATAAACACAAACATAAACAGCTTCATCCCCGGATCAGAACTTTGACAAAGTGCTGTGAAGGTCTCACCTACGCAGCTCCTCATGTCTTCACCCAGTTCCCATCCTGCTCGGCAGCTACACTGGACGTTGCCTTCAGCCCTCACAGTGCAGTCGTGTTCACAGCCACCGTTTCTCAGCTTACAAGATGTAACATCTGTTCAGGTGAAAAAGGAAGCACTGAATATTTACAGATTATACACAAGATGAAAAGACTGATTTGTTGATTCATGCAAAAATAATCTGAAGCTATTGGCCAGGTCTACAGAGAAATCAAACTTCTAAGCGCCCTAACTCCAGCTTCTAAATTCTAAAATTTGCTGCTGCTATCGCACAGACTCATTATTCGTCTTCCTGGATAGCAAACGTTAAATATTTAGGTTTCAGACTGTTGATCAGAAGAAAGCAGATAATTGATGGAGTTGTATCAGATTCAATGACATTTAAATGACACTGATAATGACACTAAACTCATTTTACAATCTACAGAAAAGTGTTAAATAGTTCAAAAGTTCATTAAAATAATTATCATTGTTTTAAAGTAATTTGTTACCAGTTTCACAAAATTATGGATATTTTGTACATTTAAAAACGGCAACATCAGTTTTTATATAAACATCTGCAATATCAGTATTAAATACAGACGAGTAGGTGTGAAATTTATCCAGTCTGTGCAGTACTAGGACTTCTTCATCACTATTTCTGCTCTTGAAAAATCGGTGCAATACCATTGATATGTTCAACATTATTATTTTCAGCATGCAGAGGAATTAGTTAAACTGAATGTCTACATATGGAGGAACCAGGTCTTGTGTGTATTTAACCCTAACAGTCATTGGTTGGTCTGTCTGTCTGTCTGTTTGTTACCAGATGACTTGGGAACGGTGAACCTTCAAGGCCTCAAACTGTAGGCAGTAGAGCCCATAGCTTAGATCTGGGACTGGTGGATTTTGCTAAAATTGCTTTGTTCACAAGTTATGGAGTGATCTGTACTTTAAAACGAGCGTTTCTGCTGCTCTGTCAGACATAATCGTCACTGGCAGCGAGTCAGTCAGGTTTAGAAACGACCTCCAACACCTGATAAACACATTTATAGTGAAAAGACTTTCACTATGTCTGTGTTCAGCTTCTGGCAGCTGGCTGCTGTTGACCATAGTGCAGAATGTCGAATGTGAGCGTGCCCGTGCGCCTGGTGGAGGCGGATAGTGCATGTGTGAGTGAGAGCAAGGACACGTGGTCACCATGGGGCTCCACGGCGAGGGGCGTGGCACGTTCGTTCAGATCTATAGCAGTTCAGTTTTGTGTGAAACTTGCTGGTGAATCCGTGAAGCTAAGCCTGTGCTGCACTGACTGTCCGCTGAGGCTGCTCCACCCTTGACCGTGTGCTACAGTTTGGCTGTGTATAGGGTTAGGGTGTAACACAGCTGTAATATTTAACAGTAAAAAAAGCATCATACTAAACCAACAATATCATGCCTCATACAATTAAAGGCTCTACAGCTGTTCCCAGATCAGACTGGATGTGGTATGTGTGAACACCTTGGCAGAACGATGGTATCGGCTTCAGGGGGGATGCACGCAGGGCCGAGGGTCACGACCCCGGTGCTTTTCATGTGGTTCACTTTTATTTTTCATTTGGTGTTCCTCACATATTTACACGAAGCCCTGTGCTACACTACACATTTGCCCACCAGTTTCCAGTATAACCAGTCTAGATCCTTTCTATTTACCCTGCAGCCTTCGTGTCAGTGGGAATACTTTGGGTTCTAACAGGGCTGCAGGGTGGCGCAGTTGGTAGCACTGTTGCCTCGCAGCTAGAAGGTTGCCGGTCCGCGTCCCGGTGGGGGCACCGGAATCTTTCTGCGTGGAGTCTCCATGTTCTCCCCGTGCAGCGTGGGTTCTCTCCGGGTTCTCCGGCTTCCTCCCACAGTCCAAAAACATGTTGAGGTTAATTGGTGATTCTAAATTGTCCGTAGGTGTGAATGTGAGTGTGCTTGGTTGTCTGTAACTGTAAGTGAGTCCCTGCGATGGACTGGCGACCTGTCCAGGGTGTCCCCTGCCTTCGCCCTAAGTCGGCTCCAGCCCCCCCGCGACCCTAATGAGGATAAAGCGGTGTATAGAAAATGGATGGATGGGTTCTAACATGTTGTGGACTTGTCTTTCCCAGTCCACCAGCACACACTGAACTTTCGCTGCACTTTGATAAGTATAAGTATAGCATGGTTGCGTTTTCTCTGACATTTCTCCATAGAAATCTGACAGTAATGACAAACGTACTGCTGCAGGTGAGGCTGTCTGTGTCTAACAACAGAGGAGGCGGGCAGTGGCAAGTGTGTCCTCCTGCAGAGTTGGTGCAGGTGTGAGAGCAGCCGCCGTTCTGGAGTTTACATTCGTCAATGTCTAAGTGCACAAAAACACACACACAGGAAACACAAACACAAATCGTAAGCAGCAGGCTGATAACTAACTTTCACATGTGGCCTCAGGACTGAGCAGAGAACATCCACAGACACACACAATGAGGCAGAGAGATAAAAAGTTCATCAAAGCTTTCACCACTTGTGTGTGCTGGTGAACGGCCGACGCTCAGCCTGCTTAAATGACTGAAAATTAGCAGGTAAACAGCAAATGAGTGACTGACCCACACAGGTGTGACCGTCGATGTGCAGCTGGTATCCGGGTCTGCAGGAACACTGGAAAGAGCCCCGAGTGTTGACGCAAATGTGCTCACAGGTCCCATTTAGTGCCGAACACTCGTCCACATCTGCAGAATCAGACACATTTAGTGGACTTTAGAAAGCTCAACGTATGGACTCGTATAGATTTCCGAGAACAAACTTTGAGAACCAGGTTAATGCGGTTTGTTTGAAATCAGGGATCCAAACTCCAGCGGCATTGGAGAATGATGCACATCTCCAGGGAGAGATGATCTCTTTGCTGCCCTCTAGTGAGCAGCCATATGATGGTGCCTTGTTAGTGCAAATTAAAGTTCATTTAGAAATTCCTGCTCAGGAAGCAATGTTGATTTTCATTAGCTACTGTGGATCTGCTGTATGCCAACATTTTAAACTTTGCTCTCCTTTTGCATTAGTGATAAAGATAAGATAAAGATAACTTTATTGATCCCACAGTGGGGAAAGTTCACTGTTACAACAGCTCCAAAAAAGTGTTCAGTCAGTGCAGGAATAACTGGGACCACCCAGCGCAAAAATGTAGGAAGAAACAGAAACAGAAAAACAGAAAACAGAAAACACACGGTGCAAAAATTGCAAAAGAAAAAAAACATTATATACAGAAGATGTTTTTTTTGTTAGTTTTTTTTTAAAAAGAAGACTATCTACACAAGGATGAGGTAGTCATGGTTACTGCACATAATGTGTTTGTTGGTGGAAAAAAGAAAAAGTGCAGCAGCAGTACCAGAGGTACCAGAGGAGTCCATAGTGCAGCGTTGTAAAGTCTGACTGTTGTTGGGATGAAGGACCTGCAGAAACGTTCCTTCTTACACTTTGGGTGTAACAGTGTGTCGCTGAACACACTGCTGAGGAGTTCACAGTCTGATGCAGAGGCTGGGAGGTGTTTCTATGATGGCAGACAGTCTGGCCAGGGCCCTCCTCTCTCCCACCACCTCCATGGAGTCCAGGAGCAGCCACAGACTGAGCTGGCTCTTCTGATCAGTCTGCTCTAACCCTCAGAGCACCCCCTCCCCAGCACACCACTGATGCCACCACAGTGTCGTAGAACGTCCTCAGCAGCGGCCTGCACACACCAGAAGAAGCAAGTCTCCTCAGCAGGTATAGGCGACACTGACCCTTCTTACACAGAGAGTCAGTGTTGTCTGTCCAGTCCAGTTTGGTGTTCAGGTGAACACCAGGTACTTGTAGGTCCTCACTCTCTCCATGTCCAGTCCCTGGATGTTCAGCGGTGGAGTGTGAGCGGGTTTCCTGTGGAAATCGATCAGCATCTCCTTTGTCTTGCTGGCGTTCATCTGAAGGTGGTTCTGCTCACACCAGTCGACAAAGTCCATGATGACCGTCCTGTACTCAGTGGTTCCCCTGTGACACGCATCCCATGATGGCAGAGTCATCAGAGAACTTCTGGAGATGACAACTGTCTGTGGAGTACCAGAAACCTGATGTGTAGAGGGTGAAGAGGAAAGGTGAGAGTACTGGACCCTGAGGAGCTCCAGTGCTGCACACCAGCACATCAGACACACAGTCCTGTAGCCTCCATCCTGGGGTCTGTCAGTGAGGAGGTCCATGGTCCATGCAGCCAGCTGGTCACTGAGCCCCGCTCTCTCCAGCTTCACCCCAAGCAGTGAGGGTTGAATTGTATTGAAGGCACTGGAGAAGTCAAAGAACGTGATCCTCACGGTGTTTCCAGTGTCCTCCAGGTGAGACAGGGATCTCTGCAGCAGGTAGATGATGGCGTCATCCGTCCCAATGCCAGGCTGGTACGCAAACTGCAGAGGATCCATGTTTGGGCTCACCAGGGGGCGAAGATGGTTCAGGACGATCCTCTCCAGTGCCTTCATCAGATGGGAGGTTAAGGCCACGGGTCTAAAATGGTTGGGCTCCTTGGGACACGAGGTCTTTGGGACCGGGACCACACAAGACGTCTTCCACTTGGCAGGAACTCTCTCCAGTCTCAGGCTTAGGTCGAAAATGTAGCAGAACACCTGACAGAGCTGGTCTGCACAGTCCCTGAGCAGTCTGGAGCTGATGCCATCAGGACCCGTGGCTTTCTGGCTCTGGTCTTCCTAAGCTGCGTTCTCACCTGATCCACTGTTGGTGTGAGGAGAGGAGGAGGTGGGTGGAGAGAGGAGGGCCCCAGAGATGGCGGTGGTGGTGAGGGAGGTGAGGAGGGGGCTACTAGCGAAGAGGAGCTGGAGGTGCTGGAGGTAGACAGGACAGTGCTCAGGCTGGAGGGGGAGGGGGTGAGACCAGTATCAAATCTGTTGAAAAACAGGTTTAGCTTGTTGGCCCAGTCCCTGTCCCCCAGTTCAGGGTCCCTCTGTTTGCCTTTGCCTTGCCCTGATATGGACTGGAGTCCTCTCCAGACCTCTCTCATGTTGTTCTGTAGCCGGTCCTCCATTTTCTTCCTGTAGTTGGCCTTACACTCTCTGATCCCTCCTCAGTTCTTCTCTGTCACCAGACTTAAAAGCCCTCCTTTTCTCCAGCAGCAAGGCTCTCAGCTCAGGAGTCCCCCATGGCTTGTTGTCTGAGGAACACCGTACCCTCCTGGTGGGCACAGTGGTCTCTACACAGAAATGTATGGATCCAGTGATACAGTCCGTTAAACTGTCAGTGTCCTGTCCATGTGGCCCACAGAGCAGCTCCCAGTCGGTGGTGTTAAAACCATCTTTGAGTGCATTTGTGACATTTGTGACTGCATTTGTTCTCATGTTATACCACGTTTTTCTGAGCAATGTCTGCCACAACATTAGCTTCAGGATCGCTAAAGTTTTCTCTTATAGGCTGGAATCACACATCTGGAACATGTTTCTAGCTGCCGTAAGCAGTTATTTGTTACAGCTCACCCACTGTAAGAGCAAAGTAGCCTCCAGGTATCCGATGGCACCCGCTAGTTCACGCTAGCTGCATTATTTTTGTAGATTAAACTTATTCCACTGGAATAACTGAATGAGAGGTGCTTCAAAGGAATTGTTGTGGGATTTTTAGAATTGCACAAAAGACAAAACTGATTTTTAGAATTACATGAAAAAGAAACCTAAAGATATTATTAAAGAGGTTAAGTAATTGTCGAAATTAGACTAAAATGTGTAAAAGTTAAACATAAAGAAGTAATGTGAGTAAATAATATCATGTGTAAACAAAACAAAGGATGTGAATATTCTGGACAAACCAGTGGAAAAAACCCAACCTGATGAAAATCTACTGAACACTGAGACCTGCTGGCAGGCCGGGATACAGCAGGACGGACACCATGGCCTGGAAATGACCCAGTAAAGATAGCGTCCAGAAAGTCATAAGAAGCTCACCACTGGGGGGGCAAGCAGGAACCCAGCGTAGCAGCAGAGTCTTAAATTATGCTGTGCTAAGCAGGAAATAGTGCTGACTACGGACTCTCTGATGAGGATCAAAGAAATCCGGTTGGGGTTTTTCCACAGTAGGAGGGAGTTGGACGAAGTTTGCAAGTATATAAGGACATATGACGCACTGTTAGCCAGCCTAATCTCCAGATTGTGCTCATGTTTGTTCGTGCAGCCTCTGTATCGAATAGAAATTATTCACATCAGACCCTGACGACTGTTTGGAGATTTTTTCCTTGTTGTAGAAATTTTTTGGGACCTGAAGTACCTAGCTAAGGATCGTTGTTTCAGCTCTATGTTTTGACGACGCTGCCTGATCATCGCAGGCCCAAACCAGGCAGGTCGAGTTACGACAGAAAAGTCAGACATTTTAGGATGCAAACTTATTTGCTTTCTTGCTCTTAGTTTGATGATGATACCACTTACATGCTGGAATGCTGTACTATTAAGCTTAACCCAGTTTTAGATAGTACGTAAAGGAACCGGTTCGTGTTATGGCAAAGAACTGGTTTAGAATCTGCACCTGTAATGGTCACAAACGATGATGTTTTTTACTGTCAGTCTAACCTCTGGACATGGCCTGCTAGCTGTTTTACTCTGTTTTTAGCTAATGACCTCCTGGTTCTACATTCACAGTGCGTTTAGTGCACAAGCTTGACGGTGGTATCGATCTTTCTCAAAATGTAAAAGTTCTTCGTTGTAAACAAGCACTAGTTTGAATGGCTGGACATTGCCCTCTGTCTTGTGCTTTACCTGTACAGTTGTGTCCATCCTGGTCCAGCTGGTAACCCGAGGTGCACTGGCAGCTGTATCCTCCTGGCTCATTGGTGCAGTTGTGTTCACAGTAGCCGTTGTTCACGATGCACTCATCAATGTCTGCAAACAAGAACAAGCTTTAAGGGCTGGTGTCTGTACTTCAAAGCAGGATGTGGGGTTAGCCAGGTAACTTTAGGTTTGACTGTCAGATCACTATAGAAACTTGTGCTAAACACCTAACCTGTTCCCAAGCAGGTTATGTTCAAGATGACAGACCAACCAGTGTGGAAACACCACCTACTGTCCTCTAGAGAGTGGCCTCAGCATTCCTGAAGCTCCATCTTAATGCTCTGTTTGCCTTTGTAGAGCAATATAATCCTAAAACAGAAACTAATTAAAACACTAACGCCTTAAAGCCTACTTGTTAAAAGATTTGCAGTAAGTCTTCTTAATGGTTTGAATAATGAATTTGTGTTTGTTCCAGCACTGGCAGGCTAAACCTGCCATAAGACTGGCTGGATGTGAGAGGACTGCATTCATCTTGTACATCACCATGAAAACAGTTTTATTTCTTGATCATTTATTCCTTAAGTAATGCATCTTTCTTCACCAGTAGCACAAAGGGACCACATCTACACTTTAGTTATACAACCTTGTGATATGTAATGATCAGTAAACTGAATCTTTAATAAGGAAACTACATCTAAGCAACTTACACACAATGGGGGGCAATGATAATAACCCAGATTCTTTCTGGACTTTGGCTGAAGCAGCTGTGTTTGTTTTTTTTCTTCTTTTTTAATTCTTTTACTGGTTTAGGATCAACATTTGTCCTTCTTGTGAGGAAAATGAGCTTTCCAGGTATGAACAGGCTCATAGGAAGCTTGGAAACACTGGGATGACTTTCCTAGTGTGTTCGGTTTAGTGAAGCCAGATAACAAAAAGATATCCTGGATATGCTGAACTTGCTTTACAGTACAGGCTTCAGGTGTGTACAAGTCAAGAGTTCATTTGCAAAAACAGATCATTTTTGTAGATGTTCAGAAAACTCGTTCTTTTGTTGTTTGCTTGAGATAAAATCAGTCAAACTGAAGCTTAGTGGATCTGACTCAGTAGAAATGACAACAACAGAGATAACTTAAGTTTGACTGGTGTTGTCCAGGTAGATGCTGGAACAGTGGCTTTATGAAGGTTTGTGAAGATGGAGGTATCTGTTTGTACAAGTGATTCATGCTTGTATGGAACCCTAAAGGAAGACACAAACACATGCCCTTTACCCACCAAAACACGAGTGTCCGTCTCCATTGAAGCCCTGGTAACACTGGCAGAAATACGAGCCGATGACGTTGCCACATCGAGCGTTCCCGTCGCACCTGTGACCACCTGACGCACATTCATTCTCATCTGGAAGAAGATTTAAAAAAGAAAGTAATCTGAAAGCCTCAGTTCATTTCTATTCGACACACATTATCCCGCCACACACACAAGGAAGCTGACCTTGTCGGCAGGAAACAGAGTTCTCCACGGAGGGAACGTCAGCACTAATTGCTTACCTTCACAGTGTGTGCCGTTTCCCCGGTAACCAGGTCGACAAACACACTTGTAGCTCCCCAGCGTGTTCTCGCACACACCCCGACCGTCGCACACGGTGGGACTGTCCGTGCACTCGTCCACATCTAGGACACAGACACGGGACAGAACAAGGCGTGATGCATACAGGACACGACGCTTTCCATCATTTATGGATTTACTGACTCGACAAGCAGCTCCCAGCAGACCAACAACGTGCAATATCTCCTTTTTTAATCCATTCATATTTAGAAATATTTATTTATATCACACTGGTGACTTGCACTATTCCATGACATGTATGTATATATTTGCATTTGCACTGTTTATTGTTCTTATTCTCATCATCATATCTTTAGTTTTTTATATATATATATTTTTTTTTCATTTTTATATTCTCTGCTTGAACTATTCTTCTATAGATGTGTATTTCTAGACTCATGTTTGCACTATTTCTTATATGTACATTTTTCTTTCTAGTGAGTGTGTATCTGTGTGTGTCTGTACTGCTGCTGACAACACTGTGAATTTCTCCACTGTGAGATAAATAAAGGATGATCTTAATCTTACTGCTGACACAAGCTGTAATTAACACATTGCATTGTTCTGAAAAAAACAACTGTCATTTGTGAAGCGCACTCCCCTAATTTGATTGCAAACAACAGGGGTACAAAGTCATTAAAATAAAACTCAATTAAATCTTTAATAGGGCACAAGTGGCTTCATATTGTGTAACTGTAGGAAGCTGTAATAATATGTGGTATTTTTTTCTTCTCCCAGATTTTCTGTTTGCCTTTTCTCAACCCAAAATCCATTCCTTTCCAACAGCAGCTTGTAAAGAAATCACATTGGAGGTAAAACATGAGTTTAAAAAACTCGGACAGAAGAAAGTCTTCTAAAGATTTTAAACTTTGCTTATAATATACGGCTGCAAACACACAAAGAGCGAGCAGCATCTGTTGAGCATGGGAAGCACATCATACCTTGACACACGGTGTAGTCTGGACACACGGGACCTGCAGAGGACCAGAGGTCACAAGTGCAGAAAAGTCACAGGAAAATGAGATGTGAGAAAGACAGTGAACAGAGATGACACAGAACAAGAGAGGGAAGTTGGTAAATGCGGAACGGAAGAACAAAAGCAAAGCCGAGCAGCAGCAGAGCAGCAGACTGAGGCGCTATATTCCCTCCTGTCAGCAGATGTCAGTACGCTGTAGCTGCTCAAATGAAATATGGCAAAAACTCAGAAGGCATCATCAAATGTGGACATCGGTCTCATGCAGCTGTGGTGATGCGCCGTGACAGACGGACTCACCGACACATGCAGGAGCTTCTGCTCTGAAGCCCAGCCGGCACTGACACACGAAGCTGCCGGGAGTGTTCACGCACACGTTTCCCAGCTCGCGGCGACACTGTTCCTCGAAAGTGCACTCGTCTACATCTACAGAGGAGACAGACCAGCAACTATGAATAGGAACATGAGTGGTCATATTTAGGATCAATATTAGTTTCTCCTGTTTTTTGCTTTCCAGCATTGACTCATGGTCAGTTTAATTCGATTTTACACCAAAAAAAAAACTCTTTCATGTCAAAATGAAGCAGGGGATGGATACAAGAACATTTCCAAGTCACTGAATGTCCTCTAGAGTACGCCTGTGACTCCTCAGATGGAGAACATACTTATGCAACAGAGATGGGAGAGACGATGCATTAAACAACTGGTGCCTGTTCTTCACCAGTCATAGATTTATGGGTGAGTGGCACAGAGAGAGCCGCTGCCTCATAAACGCTCACATGAAATCTGGACTGAAGTTCGCCAGAAGGATGGTGGGAGACTCTGAAGTCAACTGGATGAAGGTTTTCTTGTCTGGTGAGACCAAAATGGAGTTTTTTCCCCATCAGACTGGACAGTATTCTTGGCAGACATGAAACACTGTACATGATCACAAGCACACCATCCCCACTGTAAAGCATGGTGGTGGCAGCATCATGATGTGAGGATGCTTCTCAGCAGCAGGCCCTGGAGAGCTTGGGGGTTAAAGAATGCAGAAAGTATTAAGAAACCCTGGAGGACGACCTGATGCAGCCTGTGAGAGAACTGCCACTTGGGACAAGACTTGTTTTCCAGCAAGACAATGAGCCGAAGCAAATAGCCAAAGGTACGCAGAAATGGTTTGAAGACAACGAGAATGTTCTGGAGTGGCCGAATCAGAACCCAGACTTTAATCCAACTGAGAATTTCTGGCAGGACTTGAAAACGGCTGCACGCTCACAATCCCTGTGCAACCTGACAGAACTTTGAGTTTTACAAAGAACGGTGGTATAACATTGCAGTGTCCAGATGTTCAAGGTCGACCAAGACCTATATACTTAGCATTACTTTGCAAAAAACCAAACTTACTGTCAAAAAAAACAAATTAAATTGACCACAGTTCAATGTTGACGTTTTTGTAGTTTAAGTATCTGCTTGTGTAGAGATTGAACACCAACGCTGGTGCTGTATGTAAAACATGCATTTTTCAATGTACATCTAAATTCCTACACTGCACAGTCATGCATACAAGATATTGACATCAGCCTCACCTACACAGCTTTTTCCATTTAGAGCCATTACGTATCCCACAGGGCACGAACAGGTGAAGGAACCGGGGGTGTTTTCACATTTGGCGTCACCGTGGCAGGCCTGCAGGCCCGTCACTGCTGCCAGAGCACACTCATCTATATCTACAACACACAGACATTATGATAATACTACATATGCCACGTGTAATCCACTCTCACACGAACACACACTCTGACTGACTAACCTTGACATCCTCCAGCAGCCATCAGGTAACCACGGAGACAGCTGCATGAGTAAGAGCCGGGGGTGTTGCTGCAGCTGGCGTGGAGGCCACATGGTTCCCGTCCTTCACACTCATCAACATCTGTCAAATGGAGAGAAGATAACACGGAGGCACACATGTAGAGACGATTCCGTCAGTGTGCTATAAGTAGAACAATAATGTGTAATACAGCCCTGAAATATTGAATGCCTCTTCTGTGTTTTTCTCATATTTGTAGTCACTGTGGGCTCATTTTTCACGGCCAGATAAAGTCGTGCACGTCTATGGAACGAGCACAGCATGACGATAAGTAACGAGAACTCAGATAATGCAACACTATAACACGTCAAAAATCATTTAAAGAACAAAAAAGAAAGAAACTAAAGTTTAATTTCTTTGATGACTTTTAGAAAGTCTGAAAATGAAACTAACATTTTTCCAAGCGTCCACGTGTGTTACCCTTACAGGAGAAATACTTCATGACTTTACATCTTACACATATGTTACTGTTTTTACATGTTTATTTGTTTCCATACTTGTCTCTAATCTGCTCTGTGTACATACAACCTGCAGTTCAGCCCAGTTTAGCAAAAAAGTCCCTGATTTTTTAAATAAATGACTGTTGGTTGCAGCCCACTCACTAATGGCAGTTATGCTGAGAAGTGAAGATTTGATTTGATTTTTGCAGACTCTGGCAAGAGCAACCGGTTTATTTTGGAGATTTTAAAAAAGGTATGTAGAATCAAGGGTTTTGGGTCAAATTCTGGTTTAAAAAATTACGATTTTAAGGATAGATTTGGCTAAATTTAAGATCTGTAGTTTAAGGAGCATAGGAAAGTTAATTCTTTCTGTGATAACAGTTTCTGGCTTTGACAAATGGTGCCATTTTGGAGATATTTTAAAGACAGCGTGCCTTTGTGGTTCAGAGAGTTAAACGCTCCAACACACAGTCAAACATTCATTTCTCTTTTAACTCATTACATGCAATCTGTCATTTGCAGAAATTCTGAGCTTTACGTGATGGATGCAGAAATGATTTTGTTGCTATTCAAACAACACCTTTAAGCTTCCTGCCGTTCCCAACTCTGTTACCTCTCACCTTTACACTCCGCTGCTCCCTCCAGAGTGAAGCCCACCGGACATGAACAGTTGTCACCATCCTTCACCAGACCGGACGGACAGCCACATCCAGCGCTGCTCTCCTGCATCACCTGGCTTCCTGGACACTGAGGAGCAGCGCTGGAGCTTGGGGGAGCTGTGGTACTCAGAGGAGCTGCTGGTGTAGAAGGAAAACAGGGACGGTTTCAGGAGAAAGTGAAAGGCAAGTCAAAAGGTGAAACAGCAAAAGTCAAGAAACTCACAGGTGGTGGGTGTGTAGCTCGAAGTCGCTTCACTGACGTTTGAGATTGCATTTTCGATCACCTCATTCTGAAGCAAGAGCATACAACACAGTGAGTTTCATTCATGCAATCACATCCGACAAGGGCATCTGCAAGGTTCAAAAAAAAAAAAAAAGTGAGAATCTCCTGAATTCTTAAGGCACCGGCCTGGTTTTTGTTGAACTCTGTCTCGGTGTGTTTCAGGACTTCGTTTTCATGATCCTCAGGGCTGCTCAGAGGCTCGGCCACCGACAAAACCAGCAGCAGGCCTGACAGGAGAGTCCAGAGGTGAATCATCACCCGAATCTGTGTGCAGAGGAGGAGGAGGAGAAAATCAGAGCTTTAAATAATGCACAAAGTGTCTGAGAACATCTACAGTAAGTCCATCTAGAAGACCTAGTTTGTGCTGCACTTTTTATACAAATTAAACCAAACATAAAATACTTTACAGAGCAAAAGGAAACAAACAATACTTCCCAACTCAATGAAAGCACAGAGGAACTTAGGAGACAGTATCATAAACGCGATGAGGAAACACCAGAGGTGGGACAAGTGAGAAAGAAACTGAGACAACTGTGAAGTGTTAAAAAAAAAAAAACTAATAAAACTGACTAAAACGCATAAATTAATAGACAATTAAGTTAAATAAATGAAAAGCCAGAGTAGAAAGGAAGGCCTGAGCTTGGTTTTGATATGATCCACATCATCTGCTGTCCGCAGTTACTGTATAGATGCTGGCTCATCTACCGAAATGACGCAGACGTGCAGCCATAAGGAGCACGTCTGGGCAGGCAGAGCGCCGCAGCAGCCTGTCATTAAGTTCCCATCAAGCCCCCGGGCTGTCTGCACAGAACAAAAGGGGCTTCAACAACTGATCCTGCTGCACTTCCAACCTAAAGACGTTGAATTTACTATAACATAAGTGAAAAGTTAAGATTTCGCAGCCTGGAACTTTTTTTTTTTTTTTTTTTTTTTTTGTAAGAGCAGCGCAAGAGAAATAAAGAAGACCAACGTGGGTTTAACATTGTTTTGTGCGTATTGACGCGATCCAAGCGCTGCGTAAAAGTCGCGCTTCACAGACTCACCCGGCTCAGGTTTACTCGCACGTAAAGAGAAGTTTGGAGACAGACAGACGAGACTTGGAGGTTTTCCTTCAGATGCCTAAACGCGATCCTGTCCCGTCTTCTCCAGATGCGGACTCCGAGCAGCTGCACGCCAGCCCTGCGTCAGTGTGGGGGGCTGTACGATCCAGCAGTGACTCCACATCCTGTCCAGGAAACTCTGCACTTCCCATTCCACAAATCCCAAACCACCGCTGCAGAGGAGCAGCAGTCAGGCGTGTGGGCTGCTTCTAGACGCCCCATGCTCTGAACCCTGACATGGAGGTCATAAACCAGTCAGGAAAAGGTCAAAGCCGCTGCAGCAGGGACTTACAGCTGAACATATGGGGATTGCGAGCTGGAGGCTGTGTCTCTGCCGAACTCCCGCTCCTGCCCTCATTTAGTTTAAAAGCCTTTCTTTCTTGTCATTTTTTACTCCGAAGACATTATACCATGGCTACAAGATCTGTCGGACAGCCTCAGAGAGAAAAAGCTGCGAAACTTCGACAAACAACTCAGTGGAGGATTACCGACCCACAATGGCGGCCTCATGGAAGTCCGGGCCTTGGACATGTTGGTGCAGGAAGGAACCCAAAAAATTGGTGAAGCTGTGGAGCAGAAATGGTCCAAGCTCGCCAACAGCCTGGAGGACCAGGCTAAAGGCATCACCGAAGCAGAGCAGCAGGTCTCCACCGTGGAGGACCACATGGCCCACCTGGATTCCGCCTGGCGCAGATGGAGAACAGACAGGTGACCAGGACTGAGCGGCTGGACGACGCAGAAAACCGAACCAGACGGGACAACTTAAGAATCCTGAATCTGAAGGAGGGCACGGAGGGTGACAATCTGACCGAATCCTTGGAGACCTGGCTGCCAACCATGCTCGGTTTGTCTGCCGGACGTATAAAGCTGGACCGAACTCACCGGACCACCGGGCCGAGGAGTGACTGTCCCTGTCTGGTAATTATCAAGCTCCACAACTCTCGGGATAAGCCAAGGATCCTCGCGTCCACAAGAAAAACGAAGACGCTGGATCATGAGGGATCCACCAGGACCTGTCCGGCGCAGTCCGACTGAAGCAACGCTCTTTCAATGACGATCGATCAGGGAATCAGATTCAAGATGCGGTTCCTGGCGAGACTTGTGCAGCACAACGGAGCAGATGGCCAGCACTGGAGAGGCTCAGCACCTTCTGGACACATTGGACTTCGCATGAGGTGAGCCGAACAAACTGCTGGTATTGAAATGATCCTTCCAGCGTTCTGCTCATTTACAGAACTTCCTCTAACTTGGCTCATTATCAAAATCTTAAGACCAGTTAAAAAAATTGCATGAATTTGCATTTTGCACTGTTGGATCTTAGGAAGGTTCTAAGTAGAGCTTCAAAATGCAAAAAGGAGAAACGGGAACAAGAGACCAGAAGCTGTGAGCCGGCAGTTTAATGAAACAACAATTTAACTCCAACAGGCTGCTCATCAGCTGATCAACAGTTTGAGACCACAGCCTTTAAAAGCCAAAATCTGTGCAAACATTTGGATTCCGTGTCATTTCCTGTCAAGTGATCACTCTGTGAAGATCTCGTGATGGCAAACAGCTCAGCGTCTCTGAACGTGGTGGGATTGTTGAGCTGCATGAACGAGGCCTCTCACAGCGGCCCATCGCTGCTGAGGCTGGACGCAGTAAGATAGTCATTTAGCATTTCTTAAAAGATCCTCAGGGTTATGGAACAAAAAAATCAAGTGGTTAGACCCAAAAAAATCTCACCGGCGCCGAGCCGGAGGATCTGAATGGCTGGCCGTCAAGACACGGGCCGATCCTCGTCCCAGATTCAGGCCATGACTGGTGCTGACTGCAGCCCAGTAACCATCAGACGGCATCTGTGAAGGAAGGGCTTCAAAAACAAACGTCTTCAAAGGCCACGTCTGCTTCACACAGAACTGCCCGTTTGGACTTTGCAAGGGAGCAGCAAACACGGGACGTTCACAGGTGGAAGAAAGTTCGATTCTCTGACAAGAAAAACATTCTGCAAATGACCTTTTATTTTAAATCAGAAATCAGAATATGAGTAACATCAGACACAACTATTTACAGGAATGCACATGTTCTACCTCTGGCGGGTGTTCTAGTCATAACATCATCAAGACTGAGCAGAACTAAACTTCAGAACCATTCATCAGACTTTCATCAGTATTTACAGGATCTTTACAAACTCACACAACAGAAATAATGAAAACACTGTTCAGGGCTCCAGACGAACTCTTTCACTGGTAGCATCTGTACAACCCACTTTCTCATTTCATTGCTCTCCAACCTGGTCAAAGGCAGAACATGTGACGAGCTGAACATTTTCTTATTGATAGACGATTTCCTGACGCTCCCTGAACGCCCCACACAGCAGGCTGGTCGCTGCTGCTGGTGGCTGTGCTGCTCTGACAGGTGTGTGACCAGGAATGACTAAAAATAATAAACTGGGCGTTCTGGTGTCAGATCTGTCCAAAGTTAAACCCAGTTACATGCATTCTACACGCTGCCTTTAACAGTGAATGCAGCTGCGCTCTGTTTGTCATGAGAAGACCTCATTTTAAAGTGTAAATAGTGCAGCACTCTGAAGTTATTGAAGTCCTTCCAGCCTTGTAGTGAACACAGCAGCTTCCTGTGCCGGCTACAGAGACACTCATACAGCTTCATGATCATCAGTTCACACTCTCCAAAAGAAGGTTGCAGATGCAGCCTGGAGCTATTTGAACAAAAAAAATTGGCTCGTCTCTCTTTCTGCTCAGCAAACTTCTCTGACTTCTTGGTTGAAGCCACTCGTCTGTGTGAGCAGCGTCTCCTCCACTGACAGCAGGCCGATGCATGAAGCCACCAGTCAGGAGCTGTGATCCAGCAGCAGAGGAGGGAAAGGCCGTGAGACGGGTCAGAAGCTCAGTCGTAAGAACGTCAAAGGACAGTTCTGATATCCAACCACAGGAGACAAAAGCAAATAAAGACTAAATTAATTGGCTTACAGCAAAAGTGGGCGGGTCCAGGACGCACCGAGCTGCGCCCTGGGAGAAAGTCTGCAGCTGCCAATCAGAGCCCGGGCCGAGGTCACATGATCATGAAAAGTTTTTGCTTACAGGAAACTACAGTCCTTCAATCCATGTAATACTGACAGAATAAGACGTGCGTGGGCGAAGGACCTGGGGTCTGCGTCTGAGGAAGGTCCTGGTCCAACGCAGTGGAGTCAACTGGGAGAGTTTTCTTGTGCAACAGGCAAACAGAGAGTCACTGTAGGATCCTCCACAGGGTGCAGCCCAGTCCCTGAATACTCTCCTCTGGGATCTCTCCCTCTGTGTCAAGTGTAAGACAGAGGTTGGGTCTTACATGCGCTGCATTTGGAAATGTCCTGTAAGATTTAAATTCTGGCAAAAAGTCTCACAGGAAATTGACTCAATTGTTAATAAGAAAATAGGAATAAATTCTGGTTCTTTTCTGTTACATCGTTCGAATGAGGGGCTCTGTTTGACAAGGACCCAGCAAAAATTGCTTCAGGCTGCTTCTCTTGGAAAGAAGATGCATTTTATTCCAGTGGATTAAGGCCAGACCTCCAACTATTAATCAGTGGTATACAGAAACCTTTAAAGTCTTGCCTGTGGAACATCGAAGTTCAGTTCTGATGGGAAATGAGAGGAACTATCTCCCAGATTGCACAGCAGACCTCATACGTGGGGGGCGTAGTGATGTGGTCTGGCGCCCCTCTGGTGCACCTGTGTCCTCATAATGCCCTCTCCTGGGTTGTTAGAGCTCCTTGTGGTCCTTTGCTTCGGTTGTCTCTGTGGACTTATACAAGCTGTGTAGAGCTGGATGTCGTGCACTGCGCTGCTCTTGTCTGCTGCTTGTCTCTTTGGGACCCCAGTGATCTGAGACATGCTCATGCTGTGCTCATGCTTGTACAAGCTGTCTGTTTGATTTCTTTGTTTTGTTTTTGTTGTTTTGAAAAATTGAAAATTCAATAAAAATTATTTAAAAAAAAAAAACAAAAACTGAACATATGAAGACAAAATTAGACAGATGAGGGCCAAAGCTGGTGAGTGTAGCAGGTCAGTGAGCTGTGGAAGTTGAAGCGTAGAAACCACTGTCCTGTTGTAAATATCAAATGTTTCAGAGTCGGTTTGGTATTTCAGACTAAGATGGACTCACTGCCACTTGGCTTTAGGAGTGTAAAATAAATAGGAGCTATAAAGCGCCTATAAAAAGTGTTCGCCTCCTCGGAAGGTTTCTGGTTTTACAGCTTTTCCACATTGAATCATGGTCGACTTCATTTGGCTGTTTTGAATTTACAAAGTCTTTCCTGTCAAAGTGAAAAAAGAATAAATGAAGCAATGTCAATTACTTAAAAATAATAGTCATACAAAGTCCTTTAACGTGACTCACCTACTTCTACACAGATTTGGCCAGTTGGTGCTTCAAGTTACACAATAAGTGTAATAATGATCATCACTGCTGCTCACTGGGAAGCATGGTGGTGGCAGCATCATCATGTCCAGGCCTGCAGCTTCCTCTAAAGGGAGGGCCTTGAATCAGTGCAGCAAAAGTGTAGGGACGGCCAGTCTGCAAGAGAATTTGTCTCTTGGGAGAAGATCTGTTTTCCAGCAAGACAATGACCCAAAGTATACCGCCGAAGCGTTTTAATTTAATGACAAAAAGATGAGCGAGTCAGAACCTGGACTTCAGTTCATCTAAAAAGAGCTGTTCGCTCACAGTCCCTGTGTAATCTGACTGAGCTTGAGCAGCTTTGCAAAGAAGAATGAGATAAAATTGTAGTCTCCAGATTTGCAAGGCTAATTTAGACAAAGGCTCGATGGTGTAACTGTGACCAAAGATGCATCGACTGAATACTGACTTTAAGGAGGTGAACACTTCTGCAGTCATTCATTCTACAGTTTAGAGTTTTAGTGAATTTACATTATTTTGTAGAAACTTGTTTTCACTTTGAAAAAGGTACATTTTTGTCAAAACCTTCTAATTAAATTGACCAAGATTCAAAGTTAAAAAGCAATAAAAGGGAAACACGTCCTCGTCACTTCAGTCATTTCGCTTCGGAGCACTTAAGTCGAACTACTGACAAACTCAGACTGCACAATGAGCAAAGCAAGACATAACGAGGTCTTTTTGTCCCGGTTGGGCTCAGCGACTGAATACTTCTACCTCTGTAATACATTAAAGACACTTACAAGTCATGGTTCTTTCTATCTCACATTTGGAAATTCTTCACACGCCTCACACCGGCTCATTCATCATGAATGACATGACATGACTCTTGCCAGGATAAAGAGTTGGTTTGTATTTCTGTGCTAAACAGCAGCTTTTGTTGAGGACGCAGAGATTTCTGTCCCATTGTTCGACTTCCTGACACGACAGAACATCACAGCCCCTTTAACCTTCACAGTGTGCAGTATCGTGGTGGTGGTCCGTCATGTGCATCTGAGCACAAAAGCAAATAAAGAAAAATTCTGTACAAGTTAAAAGTCCACCAGAGAGCATAAACATACCTAGAAGGAATTGTCCTGTGTGCTGAAGGATCAACGCACACCAAGTAACGAAGCATAATATTAGAATATCAGTTCACACTATGAGAGGAATGAAAAATAAGTCATGTTAACTGTCAGCAGGGTGCAAAGTGTTCAGACTGTGGCCTGGGTCCTACTCGAGCGTCTACTTAATGAGTGCATTAAAATGTGAATAATATGCAGTTTTGTTGGTTAAAAAGCAAATGGTGACGATGCATTTTTCTCTCTAATGGATGGTCATGTTATTGTTCGGGCTGAGCTTCGAGCTCAGCTAAATTATCACTCCTTAATTTGATGAGTAACGGCTACAAGGAAATCTAAAAGCTGATCTTTTCAAAGGTGTTGCCACGGTGCCGCTTTGGGAAACGCACATGAAAGCTGGCAGGAGCTGTCTTGGAGTATGTGTGTGTAAAAATGTCAAGCGCTTCCAGAGTTATTCTCCTTTGGAGCGTTAACTTCACTTCCTCCACTCCGGCCGACGGAGCGTCAGTCTGTCGTGCAGTTTGGAAGGACTTCAGTGATGCTGCTCGACAACTCTGTCATTGTGTTTCCTGTACAGCTCACTAAAGAAGATGATGTGCGCAGAAGTAATCCTCTGTGAAAGTTCAGTTTGGAAAGTTCCTACAGAAGCATGGTGAAGGTCTGCGGGGCCTCTAGAAGGGCGTGTCCATCTGGCTGCCCTTCGCAGCAGGAGACACGACGCCGTAGCTCCTCTCCTGCCACCGCAGCCACTGCATGTGCACTTCTTTCTGCACCTGTCAAACAAGCACACACACAGGTGGGTATCTGCAGACTAGAAGCCTCGCCTGCCTCTTTACATCAGGGACAAGTCAATGGCTCATACCCGACACTCCTCCTATTGTTCAGTCACATTCAAGCACATGGAGCTTCTGGCTGTGAAACAGAGGGTCAGTCCACACGAACGCCACCAGAACCTCTAAACATCACTTTGTACCTCGTGTTATCGTGGCAGTTTTCCCCTCTGTGGAGTTTTATGTGCCAAACTATTGCTTTGCCCCAGATCAAGAAATAGCATCTGAAAATAAAATGTGAAGTGCAAAACTGCCATTATTACTTGTTTTTCTTGGAACCAAACAAGAAAAAGAATACCTTGTTCATTTTGTGAGTTTTAAAGGACTTTTTTACCATGTTAGCTATTTTATGTCCATCCCCCCATTTTCATGCTGCTAAGCGAAGCTGCAACCAGATCTTCAGCAGAGCCACATGAGAGAAGCGGTTATTGTCACTTAGCATGTTCATGCCGTGTGTTTTTGGTGCATCAGTGACATTTTTAAAGCCAAAGAAGTCAAAAATTAAACCACAGTTGTAAATATAGTCTTTTAAATCTACAAGATGATATGAATGCAGGTAAAAGAACTGATCCATAAAATAGAAATATTCCACCTGCAGCCTTTGAGCATGTAAATGGATTTAAAGGCATCGTGTAGCGAGCGCTACACCAGCCTGATGCCGCCCTCACGCTGTCACAGTTTGGCTTCACATTCATCTTTACGGTTTCATAAACGCTCTGGGTTTGTCCCTTGATGCAAAAAGGGCAGAAGAGGTGGGAACTCACTTTGCATTTTCAGCCCCTGACAGCTCTGAACCACTCACCTCCTGCTGGCATATGATCAGGCAGGTTTATTATTCAACAGACGTGTGTGACTTGTGTGATTCGTTGAATGTGTAAACGCTCGAGAGAGTTGCAGCCTTAACTGACCTCTTGATTGAGAAAGCAATAGAGGATCGCCACGAGCAGCCCCTGAAGAAGAAGAAGGTTGCAATCATTAATATTTAGCACTCGTCCACACCTTTAAAAGGTTGCTCATGTCAAGATTAAGTCTAAATGTCAGACACGAATGAGAGCTGATCAGCTGAAAAATGAGAATCCCCCTAAACCAGCCAGACAGTGAGGGTGGAACGCTGATAGTTTGACTTCATGTCTTATTAAAACAAGACTGCATCATCTGAAGGAGGGTCAACTCACTGAATAAAGCACGCCTGACTATCTTCAATTTGACAGATTTATTTTGTTTAATGGTGAGTTGACCAAATGCAAAATGTGGTGGGGTCGATTTTTGCGACAGTCTGTGGATCAATGTTTGAAGTGCTAGAACTTGAGAAATGATGCTGCTGCAGTCCCACTGATGTGTACATATGGTCTCCAATGGCACAACCCTGCTGTGACAGAATAATACAAAGCAGCTATATGATGGTGCAGATGTGGTAAAACTATTTCAATGTGTCTGTCTATCCTGATATTCCACCAACCACAAAACCTTAGTTTCTCACCCTAAGAGACGGAGTTTTCCTCCTGTGACTGGCACCAATAGGAGCTTTAGAAATGTAGCATATGGAGGCATACTTCATCCATCTTCTCTACACCTTAATCCTCACTGGGGGGCGGAGCCTATCCCAGCTGACTCAGGGTGAAGGCAGGTTCACCTGGACAGGTAACCAGTCTATCACAGGGCTACACTTAGAGACAGACAACCAAGCACACTCACATTCACACCTACGGCTGTGAGGCCATGGTGCTAACCACCGAGCCACCTGTAGCCCAGATTTCATACATCCTTATCCAAATAATTCAGCAGGATGCAGCAAACACCAAAACTCCAACTGTGATGCATGGCCAGAAAACCAACATGTAGCACATGTTATATACTGTAAAGGGCAGGAAGTGATCTGACTTTGGAAAGTGCAGATGTCACCTTGTGTCCAGCTTCTCTTGCACTCTCACCAACACAGCTGTGCTAAGCTACTGGATGCCATCGTGCTGGCTGTTTGTTCACTCAGAAATGACACTTTCTTTAATGCACAAGCGATGTATGCAAGCGCAGAAATCAATGCAAATCTGATAACTGAACTGAACTAACCTGAACAGAGCCGTAAGAGAACTGAACTGTCTGGATCCGAGTCCCTACGAGCAACTCAACTCAATTTAATTTAAGCCACTCACTGTTAAATTGACAAAATCTGGGAATCTCTAACCCTTTGCACCTATTGGCTCATGCACCTGTGTGTACCTGTTGCACCACTTCTGCTGTGTATGTTCAGCAAAGTGCAGCATATGAAACATTAGAGTTCCTACAGATGAGCTGTTTGAATAAAACACTTCAGATTTTTTCTCCTAGATGTTTATATCTGCAAATTCCTTTCTGTACTTTTGTGACACACCTCCCTAGAGTCAGTGGTGTGTGTGTGTGTGTGTGTGTGTGTGTGTGAGAGAGTGTGTGAGAGTGTGTGAGAGTGTGTGTGTGTGTGCGTGTGTGTGTGAATGTGTGTGAGGGTGTGTGTGACAGTGTTTTTAAATGCTGGTAAACACTTAGCGTTGCTGTTGAGAAGTGTTCCATCAATAAAGTTTGATTTGATTTTAAATGACCACCTGCTGCTTCATTTCATTCAACACTCTGCAATAAGGCGGTTCTGTTGGATTCTGTGGTTTCGAGGTGGGGACGGGAGCTGAAAATGAGCTTCATGCTGCCCACTGTCATACATCATCGGCCCGAGGCCAAATAAATAAAATGCTGTCTACATGAAATGCACCTATTTTAATAGATGTGATGCACAAGGAAACAGGAGTGCACATGAGGGTCATTATGAGACCCTCGAGACATTAGACTGTGCACACGGCTACAGAGTGTGCGCTGCGAGGCAGTGCCTTCGTACCTGGAAGGATCCCATGCAGAGCTCGATGCAGAGGCGCAGGCTGACGTTGAAGTAGTCGGGCAGAAAATTGAAGAACATGTAGTGAGTACCGAACAAAGGGATGAGCAGGAGGGTGGACTTTGTCAGGCGTCTGTTGCACAGAAGAGAAGAAATGAGGTGCAGGAGGTGAAGGCTTGCTGAGGGAGTCGCTTGTCGGCAGTCTGGCTTAGGGTTAGGGTGAACGCTGATGGACTCGTGGTCACGTGTCAGTCAGGACACGCGTGTGCAGGAAGCAGCAGGTGCATGTGAGGCAGTTTGATGTTTAAGCGAACAGATGCAACAACAGGTTCAGCTGAGTCCAGCACCACTTAACTTACAATCAGCATGTTGTTCGTATGAGAGCTGATATGTGATGTTCATGAACGCTCTGACTGCAGCCCCTTGGTACCAGTGCAACCACAGACGGACCAGACTGCCTCGTTTGTGGGTCATCAGTCATCCGCTGTGCTGTTTGTTTTACTTTTTTTACACAACTCTCATTTTTTCCAACATCAAGGTGTCCATTTATCAGAAGAAAAACTATCAGAGTAAAAAAGTATTTGGGAACGTGTGCATCTGACTGACAGAGCTGAAAGTTCACAATAAACACAGACACCACTTTGAAAACCCAAAAACCATGTCGGAGCAACAGATGAAAGCTAAATCTCATTAAAGCAAATCTCAGCCCTAAAGAACTGATCCTTTCAGATAAATAAAATAAAACCCTGACGTCTTCAGCCCTCTCTGTATTCACTCTTGTAGCTAACAGAGCGTCTGCAGCTGGAGGTTACCTGTACTGAGACGAGTTGTTGAACTGGATCAGCCGAGGATTCAGCTTCTGCATCAGGATTCTCATGATATTCATGAAAAGCATAAAATTGACCTGTTGATAGAAAAATAAAGAAATAAAAGCTTCAGATTAACGGGATAATACCTGGACACGTAGTTAGAAAACCAAAATGATGCTTTCAACAACATGATCGAGTGTCACGGCAACAATAATAATAATAATGAGTACCGTGGTTCTACTCTAACGGTGCAAAGGAAGTTTTCCCCCAGTCGGTCTCCATAACAAAAAGTGAACAAATACTCTAGGTTTGTAATTAGCTGCAGTCATTCCGGCTGTTAGAGCACAACGGGAGCATTTACCGCTATAGAGGCGACGATCGGGCCTTTGATGATCCACCAGTAGGGCGAGTCCTCGTTGACGTCCCAGCATCTGCAAAAGATGGAAGTTCAGTCAGTCTGCAGAGGTTCTCTTTGTCTACATTGAGCTGATCTGTTGCAGAATAAAATAACCTCCTGATAAATTAGAGAGTAAATTATACACGTAATTACAAAGTGAAGCTCAGAAAAGTCAACATTCATGGTGTTTATCTCCCCTAATCCACATCATTCAATTTGTTTAAGCAGCATCCGGTCATGCTTCGCTGTGCTTCTAGCTGTGGTCTTTATGATGGTGACTGTGGTAATGGAGGTTTGTACAAACTCTGTGTCCTCAAAGTACACTCTGGATCCAATCCACAGGACTATGAAGAGCACAGGGACACCTGTGGAAAGGCGGGAAACGAATGTCAGTGAGATGGTTGAATCATAATTACAGGAGACATTGTGTGAACCTGTTTGAATATCAGCTTTTCTAGCATCTGCAACTATCTGTGCAGCAACAACGACCAGTAAATGAACGTTGTGCACGTCATCTCTGCAGTATGCACAGTATAGGCTGGCTCCCATCACTTTCTGACCTCGTACAACATCCTGCTCAGCAGGTTAAGTGGATGAGAACATCTATTATGTGCAAGGACCCTTTTCATTTACCGAGACCTTGGCAATCCAACTTCAACATCGTTTTAAAAGACACTCAACCCACAAAATGTGATGAATGACATGAGCAGCGTCCGCCCCGGGGACGTAAACTTTAATTTGGTTTGTTTTCCTGCGGACGCCGCGGGAGCCAGGAGAGTTTTTATCCGTTCAGATAATAAGCAGGAGACGCTGGCTGACGGCAGTCTGTCTTGTTTAATTTGTGTCCCTGAAGACGGCTGCGAACCTCTGCTGAAGCGAAGGAGGACAGTATAATAAAGCACAAATGAAGACATTTTAAACTGCTCAGCTGATTAGGTTTGAAATTGTTCATTAGATTTTGGATGATGGCGTTTCTTCCTTTGTATGAGAATAACTACATCGTGTTTGTCCTCAGTTTATCGTTATAGAACATTGATAGAAATAAATTACAAAAATATTTCAGATTTTTTTAGAGAAGTAAATGTAAAAAAATCTCAAACATTTAACATTAAACATCTAATTTTTTTTTTTAACAGAAACACTAATTGAATGCTACATTTGTAGACTGGAAATCCAAAAACCTGTTATGACAGTTGAAAAAAGCCAAATATCTGCATCACAGGGCAGATAAAGTCCAAAATAAAGAGTTTTGTTTCAAACCACATGCAAGTCAGATGGACCGGAGACGGCAAAGGGTTCACAGTGCCGACATCTGTGCAATCGAAAAAGAACTAAGGAACGGTCTCGGGGACGTCACACTACAGGCAGAAAGTAAAAAATAGACATTTTAAACGTGTATTTCTTATTTAAGCTGAAACTCATTCTGCACATGATGTCTTGGCTGCATTCATCAGCAGCAGTGTCTTGACACAAACTTTTCCATTTCTGTTGTACTTTTATTTTGTAATAAAGCTTTACTGATTTTGAATCAGACTTTGTTCCTTAAAAACCTTAAAATAAAATAAGCGCCTATATCTTTTCCCAGCTTCTTCTGTAATTCTTAAAAGTGACGTTTCAGAAGCATTATTCTTTATTTTCTTCTTTTTCCCATTTTGTGTTGCTGAAACAAATCCTGGTTGTTGGAGGCGTCCTGATGTGCATCCAAAGACGTTTCAGCGCTGTCCACAGATAGAAGCAGCCGCTTTGTGACGACTAATTGAAGTTTTATTTTAGCCTTTCCTTTTGCCAAAGCAGGCCGTACCACATTTTCTACTTTGAGAAAAAACCTGATTCCAGGTTCGTCCTGTTAAACAGCTTTGAAGAGTTTACATCATCAGAAACGAGAGAAACTTCTGAGCACCGTGGGGTAGAAACAGATGCTTGGTGGTGGTTAATTCAGTTTTTTTTTTACCTTGCCATACCTACGAGTTGCATTTTCATGGGGCTTGAGGTTGCGCTGTCCGCCATCTTGAATTGCAAACATGTTGCAACTACCTGCGATATAATGGTCACCAATTGGTGCAGCTTGGCCCAGTTTGCCACTAAACCTTCAAGACAAAACCTTTATTGGTGGTTGGTTGGACCACTTTGCCACGAGCTAGGAGACCATAAACACTTATCACCAAAACATAAAACTCAGCTTTGGATTCTTTGTGGTTTGGCCCGCTTTGGCACTGAACCCCTCACCGTGTATGAGGCTGTACTGCAAATGCAGGGGATGTAGAATGGCCATGAAGCTCTGCATGTTAAAGTTCTCACCCCATCCCAGCAGGCTGAAGCCCCAGAGGCATCGGCGGCTGTGATAGAAAGAGGAGAGCAGCAGGGAATTGAGGTAGAGCGCCTCCACCAGGAGCCAGAAAAAATTTGCCATGACACAGTAGTGACAGAAGACCACAGACACCTTACAGGCAAACTGGGCAGAAAATATGGAGGAGGAGAAGGAGGAGGAGAAGAAGGGCAGAGAGCAAACGGTAAGGAGGGATTAGTGAGCGAGGAGGCGCAGCTGCTTGCATAAATATGAGAAACTACCCGCAGGAATTTCTTAATACAGCCAAGAAGCTCTTGTCAGGAGTGTCATCATCTTACAGTGGAGAGGGTGCAGTGGTTGGTGTCGTCGCTGGAGAACAGAGTAGCATCCTTTATAAACACCGCCGCAGACTTCAGGATGAAGGTGGCAAAGAGCTGGATGTGAATGAAGTTCCTGGCGCAACGCAGCTTTCTGTTGGAAACACACAAGTGGCCAGACAGTCAGAACATACGACACGGTTTTTACCTTGTTCACATGTCCATATGGTGTTTTTTATATTTTTTCAAAGACACGTCATGTGCAAAATAAGACAAAAACACAGTAGCTGAGCATTTCCACCTTGAAGCTGCAGAGCTTCGATGACAGTTTATTAAAGATTCAGAGTTCTGTGTGGAACAAACCTGAGCAGCCGATCATACCTGGACGGAGGGATTTCCACATCATTCCTCTTCAGAATGAGTTTTTGGTTTCAGCATTCATGGCATTATAGAGTATTTTTTTACACTGTTTAGGCAGAGTTTAAGTGAGCTGGTGTGCTTGAGATGTGATATGAAGGGGGAGGCAGGGACTTTTAAGGAATGAATGGATTATTTTATGTGCAAAACAAACTTCTAAATATGTCATTTTGATAGCAAACATATGTTTTACAGGTTTAAACAACAACTGGAAGGATGACAAACAAGAAAATAAAACCATTGAAGATATATATCACACAAAGAGCCAGATGTATAAATAGGAGAGAGAGGTGGAAGTGATGGTGCTGACTGGGGTCGCACTCATCAAGTGATTCTGTCAGGCCAGATTTATCACCAACACACCAACTGACGAGAAAAAAATCAAACAGTAATTAATAATAATAATGTTTGTTGGTCGCACTTTAATCCAGTGAGTGAGAGGAGAGCCTTGATGTGGTGCCGGAGCTCTCAGGCACACTGATAGCAACTCATCAGTGCAACAGAAAGGTGTTCGCTGCTGGAGCTTTCTGGGAGTTTTTAATTTCAGATGGAGCCATGCTGGGTGGTGTCTGTGTTTCTAGCTTTTATGCTAAACAAAGTTCATCTGCAGGTTCTCATGGCTTCATATTTAGTGTACAAATATGACAGCGGGATCAAATTTACAATCTAGACATCAGCAAGAAATCCCAAATCGATTCTGTCTGCGATGAACAGTAGAGCATACAGAAAAAGTACACACCTCTATATAGTACAAGAACACGTCTTTTTTGGTCAAAAGCTATATCCTTAATAAACTCTGATCGGAAACTGAACATTAACCTCCTGGACTGGAAAATGAAACCAAAGTGCAGTTCCTTGAATGACCACTTGAGGCTGACTCCGAAAGTGAGTCCCCACCGACCTCCGTTTTAAAATGTCCAACTTTAGTGGAAATAAACATATTTACAGTCTGATATATAAAACAGCTTTGGTCTCCATAACTAATTGACACATTCTTGCCAACGGTACACAACTACATTTTCATATAATTAACCCGTTCAAATTCTATTAAGGTTTAAAGTTCTGCATAATTAAGGGTGTGGCCACTTGATATTAATCACTAATGTTTGCCTTTATAGGACAGTTCAGGACCCAGAAATGACTGCGTGGCCTCCCTCAGATCAATCAATGTGATTTTTTGGAGTTCGGTGGAGTCTGTCTGTGCCAACATTTACAAATTCACCACATTGAATTTTAATATGACTGTTAAGAAATCCTGTGTGTGAATCACCATTTTTACATGCAGTTATTGACTGAATGTCTCTTATACAGTTATTGAGCTGAAACCCTTTTCCTCAACAGCCAGAACCCGTCGTATGTAATTTGTTCTGTACCTGAAGAGCAATAGGATCAACACAGCAACAGCCAGAACCACCAGAGAGATGCTGTAGCCGACGGTGTAGATCAGCTTTACTGTGGCGAAGTACGACTCCTCGGTCTGGAGGCAGGATGAGAAAGAAGACTTTGCATGAAAGGACATCATACACAGATATCAAAGCTTTCAAAATGCTGTCAGGCTTCAAAATGAATGTAATGTCTCAAAATGACACCAAATTACAGGCAAGTCTGAGACTAAACTGCACTGAAGAGATGAATGTGGACTAACTGCAAGAAAGCTTTTCCATATTTTAAAATCTTAGTCCGAAGGCAGGAAGACTGGACAGAGCAGAAGACTGAATCTGAAAAAGGGAACTAATTACAGCAATATCAGAACTTGTAGAACTCAAGCCTTTAGAACAACAAGAAATAAAATAGCACAAAGGGTAGCTTCCTCCAACAATAACGATTAAGCACCATTTTCTCTTTGTGAAACCAGATCATTTCAGCTATTACCTGACTTTCAAATCTGTGTGAAAAGATATTTTCCATGCTCTCCGAAGAATCTCAAAAAAGAATGCTGAAAGAAAGAAAAAGCCACAATAGGTATGGCATTTTCATTTCATCACAGCCCCACAAGGGTCAAAAACTTCATCAAGAACCTCTTGGAAAGCGAGGGTTTTTCTCCTCTAGTGGAGCTTGCTTTGGGTGTTGATTCCTGCAGTGGAAACAGGCGGCTCATCCTGTCGCTTCTCCGTCTCTTATCTCCTCGTTCCGGCTGCTTCTCCTGCCGTTTCTAATTTTCTCTGCTGACCTCTGTGCTCTCAATCTGCGGTCTGTCATTCCTCGTTCTGACCTCTTTACCTGCTTCGCCCCAGCAAACCCTCACCTCAGGAATGTCAGCGTCCACGTTGCAGGCGATATGGTATGGCGGGAAGGGCCTGGACCAGCCTGCAGGGGTGCAGTTTCTGCTCACTGACCCTGAAGAGAAAAGGAAGAGATCAAGAAGTCGACAACGCCATGTAGAGTTTAGAATCCTGATCAGATAAGGAATGTACTCAAGTTAAATGTCCGGCTTTTATTAATTTAGTTGAGACTGAAACATCTCAACAGCCACTGAACGGATTGTCATGAATTTTATACTTATACTATTCAAAGGGCTTTATTGTCATTTCAACCACATACAGCTACAGAACACAGTGAAATGAGACAGCGTTTCCCAGATCCAGAGCTACAACACTGTTTTGTTCTATGCGCCCCTGTGAGTTGCATCCTTAGTAAAGTTTGAACTGATACTGAAGATAATTTAGGGCAAGTGGGAACCTTTGGGGTTGAAAAATGAAAGCAAAATGCCAAAAACTGCAGTTCATTGAATGGCCACTTGAGGCTGACTCAAAAACCGAGTCAATCCCCATCGACCTCCGTGTTAACGTGTCCAGCTTCACGGTGGAAATAAACACGCAGACAGTCGGGTCCAAAAAACGGTTTTGGTCTCTACAGCTAATGCCACAATTCTTGCCAACTGTGCAGAGCTGAATTTTTATATAACTCGCTCGTTCAAATCATATTAAGGTTTTAAGTTATGCATTATTGAGGGTGTGGCCACTTTGCATTACTGTTGTGTGCCTTTGTAGGACGGTGGCCCAGAGGACTTCGTGGCTGCTGCCTTTACATCTCGACTTCGCCTGCATGATTCTTATTCTACCTGACAGCAGCCTAGCTTCAATGGAGATGATGCAATATCTATTTTCAATCCTCACACAACCCTTGTAAGCTGCCAGATGTCGCTCTCAAGTCATCCCAGCCGACCCGTCCAGCCGATCTGTCTTGAATCAAAGCCTCAGTGTACCTCTCAGTCTTGTTCAAACGCTGTTATGCATGTACTTCTTGTTTTGCTCATTTCAGACCCCCAGACCTGTTGACTTGTTTGTAAGGACAAAGTTAATTGGATTGCAGTCTCCTGTGGAAATCTGGCAAAGAGATCCGGGTCGAATTCACAATACGACCAAATTAACGAGTTACTCAAAAAGATAAGTCATTAAAAACACACACACACTTTGTGAACTCAGCAGGATCAGAAACACTCCTTGGTTTCACTAGGATAATAATTTAGCTGAATCACAGTTCATTCTCCTGGTTTTATAGTCACCTGTGCTGTTTCTGAAGAGGGAGAAGACTGCAGGACAAGCTCTGTGGACGGTTTCTCCGGTGAATGCATGAGGCCAGCAGCTGACTGCATCCCAGAATGGACGACAACCTTTTCACAAAGAAGGAGGAAGGTTTAAAAATGTTTCATAAATCATAAACTATACACCATCTGAAATATGCAGTTGAATGATATGCTCTGAGATCCAGTGTAGGTAACTGGTGTATATAATGAACGATTATAGATTATAGCAGTGTCGTGTAGCGCTCCAACCAAGTCCTTCATCTTTTGGTAGATTACACACATGAACCCTTAAGTAACCCTCCCCAAAAGTCCCGTCTACAGATGCATCTCAGTCATAGATTACCGGCCGGGTTTTCATTTCCAGACAACTGATAATTTCCTGTGAAGCACTTGTTCCACCTTCGACTCTTGCACTGAATGTGAACACTTGCAGTATATTTCATACCACAGCTATAGTCCCTCTTGAATTTAGAAGAGCTGCTGCTGCTCTAATGGTTTCAGAATGGCTGATGTGAAAAAGCAAAAAAAAACAAAAAAAAAAACACACCTGTGCTTCTGTTTCCCTGCTCGGCAATGTGCTGAAGGCAGCGACGCTCCTCTTTCTCCAGCTGAAATATGTATTCGCATTCAGGGTGCAGACTCGACAGAGCCTACAGGGACACAACAAGGCAAGGAGGTTTGATTAGGTTCTACTTTGGTCATTTAACCCCTAATTACATTAAACAGCTGTGAAACGTATGAAAATAAGGCATGTCCACTTTCAGAAACACACAACAGCAAACTTTTCAGAACCTCCAGGACTGAAAAATAACACAAAAATGCCAAAACTGCAGTTCCGTGGATGGCCACTTGAGGCTGACTCCAAAAGTGAGTCGATCCCATAGAGCTCCATGATAAAATGTCCACCTTTATAGCAGGAATAAACATGCCTGCAGTCTGGTGCAAAACAACGGTTTTAGTCCCTACAACTAATTTCCCCATTCGTGACAATGGCACTGAATACATTTTTTATAAGAATCTCCCATTTAGATGATATTAAGGTTTAAGGTTTTGTGTTATTAAGGGTGTGGCCACTTAGAGTAGCAGGTGGGTGCCTTTGTAGGACAGTCCATGGCCCAAGAAACAAGGCAAGGGAGTTTAAACAGGTTCGATTTTCTGGTCACTTAACGTCTAATTACATCAAAAAGCTGTGATATGTGCATCAAAATAATGCATCTGTCAAGGATAAACTAAATGCAGAATGACACTCAGGAGACATGGAGTTAGGAAAAATAAGGTTTATTGCAGAAACTGATGTTGTAATGACGAGAATGAAAACAAGGCGGGGGTTACCGGTTGTGCGGTGATAGTCCTGGGAACAACGAAGAAGACTTGGGTTCAATGCAGGTGGGAAGCTCGAACGTGGATCAGGAACACAGGGAAGAAATCCTTTATGAAGATGAGGCAGGAGCAGAAGTTCGGAAAGAGGCTCGAAGGAAACACTCGGGTGGTGGCTCGAAGTCGCCATGTAGGGCAACACTCAGGCAAAGAGTGAGTGGTGAGAGCTCACAAGGTGACGACCCAGATGAGTTGCAGGTGTGCAGGTAACACACCTGCAGGGAATAAGTGACAGGGAGCAGAGTTCCTCCAGGACGCCCTCTGGTGGACGCCTGGAGGAGAACATAAACGCAAGCCAAAAACACCATTCCCTGACAGCATTTTGGTTTTTAAAAGGCAGCGACTCCTTTTTTTTAAGTGCACTATAACTGTAAACGTTGGCAGACGCACATATCTGTCCTCGAATGGAAAGTAAAAACAACATCAAATGAGTTTGTTCCAAAGGACAGCGCTGCCTACTGGACACGGAACAACGCTGCGCTCCATCCATTAGTGCCGACCAGAGATTCATGTGTTCATCTGCTCCTGCTCGCTCCACAGGATAACTGGATTTGCATTTGACTTCGGCCTGACATTTATTTCAAACAAATAAGAAAATCTTGTTTCTGGGAAGGTAGAGGGTTGGTGTATCGTAGCTGTTGGAGGGCACTGTGGGAAGAAAGGAAATACAGAAAAACTAAACTGTAGAAACTCTGAATCGAAGTGATTCTAAAAAAGACACGAGGTCATGATCTTTGTAAAAACTCACGTGTTTTGCTCGGCATGCATCCATCACGTGGCACAGAATGTAGTGAAGACCGAATGTAATACAGCAGCAGACGTTGTCTTTGATGGAAGTGAGAGCTGCAGAGAAGTGACTGTTCTCAGAGAAGGTTGTGTCTTGGTCACAGTCTCAAGGAAACCGAACTGTGCAGATATGAATACCAAGAACGAGTAATGTCAGTTGATTGTGAGGATTTTCCCCATGAGAGGGAGGCAGAAGAAAAGACTCAGAGGGAAGAGATGGGCTGGAGCTGAGTTCAAAACATCCACGGCTGATTTGTAGTCCGCCATCAGACGCTCCATTCAGCTTCGTGCTCTTCATATCCCTACTTCTATTTGTTTGCTGCATTCTTCTATCTTCACAACGAGCACCACAATGAAATTAACAGCATGCATAGAAATTTAGCAACTCTTGGTTCTTTCATGTTCTACTGAATTCAGTTCACCTGTAGAAATCTAAAACCCCAGTCTGGCTGAATCTGTGCTGGAGTTTATTTACCACTAAGTCATTGTATTAATGCTGCCAGTGAACTTAAGCCGTCTCAATCTAAAGGAGCGAGCAGCAGACGGGGTCTTTGTTACCCATGACCACATACTGCACTGTGTCCTCACACATGAAATGTCTTCCACAGTTTGTTTGCTTTTTTTGTATTTATCTGGTTCTTTTTTAAATTGCATCTCATGTTGCCCAGAATAAATCTCAAGGAATCGTTGAGCCCTAATTTACAGTGATGTCGAGGGAACGGACAACGGGATTAAATGAGCATAAACAATCAACGAGACGCCAGATTTGAATTGATCGATGGGTACACTTGCACCAAGCTTCAGTGTTTGCTGCAAAATGTTTCAAGTTTGTGCAGCACAAAAGCTCATTTCAGTACATGCATGCAGAGCAGCACAGTAATTCCTGTTGTCTACAGCAGACATTATGTTTTATATGTATGTATGTATGAGCAGAGCCATGGCAGCGACAGTCCTGTGATTTGCACTAAAGCCCGACGAGTGGGGCCTGAACATGGAATTTAGTGATGCAGGTTATCTTTCCTCATCGTACGACAGCAACTGAAGCACCTGCAGGAGAAGTTTACTTTTTATTAATTAGTGTATTCCCCAGTGTATTATTAGCCTTCAATAATTCTATCTATCTATCTATCTATCTATCTATCTATCTATCTATCTATCCATCTATCCATCCATCCATCCATCCATCCATCCATCCATCCATCCATCCATCCATCCATCCATCCATCCATCCATCTATCTATCTATCTATCTATCCGTAGTAGAGTATCCAGGTAGATTTATGGTATTTGGTGCAGATCACTACGTTGGGGCTTTCTATTGGTGATGTTAAATTTGACCTTGGGGGACATTTCAAGGTCAAACTCCAGCTCATGGCCCTTGACTCCACTGTGACTTTAAAACAGTGCAGGACAGACACGTGTTTGTATCAGAAGCCACCTGTAGGCTTCCCACTGGGGGTCTAACATCTGACCTTGACTGATAAATATCATGTAATGTAGCACCCATTTCAACTTGACAACCATCCATCCATTATCTATACACCTCTTAATCCTCACCAGGGTCGCGGGGGGGCTGGAGCCTATCCCAGCCCACTTAGGGTGAAGGCAGGTTCGCCTGGACAGGTCGCCAGTCTATCGCAGGGCCACACTTAGAGTCAGACAACCAACCAGCCAGCCATGATTAGTGGAAGAGAACACCTTTGTTGTGGTGAGTTGGACGAATAATAGTTCACTGAGACTCTTCAGTAAACCCACTTCAGATAGACTCCTTTAGTTTGGAAAGGCTGCAGATCCAATTAGACATAACAGCTCAACACAGCACCTTCATAAAGTCATCCATGTTACTGATGGCGTACGGCTCAGACTTCTGTCCTTGTTTCAGCTCATTTCCATCTCATTTTAAAAGACCTGAGGGGAAAACAAGTGTCTTTGTGACGAGATGCTACCAAGCTCGTAATGAAACAAACCCTCAGAAGATCAATTCCTCTGGGACCCCAGACGCCTCCTCTGAGGAGCAGCGAGCTCGCCCCAGTCGCCGGCTTTCTGAGTTTATTCAGTAGCACAAGCTGGTTCGTGTGCTAAAAATATTTCCATTAAAACATCTATACGAGTTCCTCTGCAGGGGAACAACAACATCTGCAGCCGCACTAAGGCACCAGGAGCCATTTCATGAAATTACAGTTCAAAGGAAGTGCAGCACCTGGGAATTTCACATTTCAATCTGTTTTCTTTTTTCAGTGTTATGTTATATTAGGACGACCAACACAAACAGGAAAGACAGCTGAGGTGGTTTCACAACAGTCCAAACTCAATGTTTTTCTGGCATTTTTGGAAAAAAGGCAGAATTTATGGCCTCGAGCTGCTTCGGGTCATCATTTGGATATCAAGTGGAAAACAGAATGAAAAGTTCACAAGGCACCATTCTGACACAAGAAAGGACTTCTTTATGTGTCAAGCGGCGAGATGCACTTTCTTTGAACACCAGCTGCAGGTTTTCATATCATACGTCTGTACAATGATTTGAACTGAGTGAAGAGTGACATTATTGGAAAAAGCGCTAAAATCCCACCTTTCAGTCTAAATCTGCGTTGACTTTCAAGGTTGCTGCACAAATCCTGAAGAATGATTTCAAGACGGCCTCAGAGACAATGAAAGGCCAGTAAAGGGATGAAGCCTGTCCATGACCTGCCCGCTCTGTGTGCAGGTAACACGTCGACTCTCCTTCAGCTGAGCTCTGTGGTCGCCCTGAAGCCTTCTACAGGAGACGGTGCTGCCTTTCAGGCTGACATCACAGTCTGGAGCACACACACACACACACACAC